GCACAAGGTCCAAAGTATGAAAATAAGAATGCAAGGGACTATCCACATTCTTAATGAAGTCAGTCAAGCCTTAGATAGCATCGAAGGCTGCATTTTAGCTTCACTTTTAATGTTGTATGAATGTTAAAATCCCCCACTATGACTTTCTCAGTATACTAGATCAAATGGAAAGTCCAAAAACTGATCAAAATGTTGAGAGTTAGGATCTGGTGGTAATGTAAAGATACAAACAAAAGTGGCTTTGTTGCTTTACGATATGGATGGGATAAACTATGGGTTAAATTTGCAAAAAAACTGTAACTATTAACTGATTTATGATTAATTAGTAAATAAGGCTTAAAGATTGTTGTTACTTTTTCTCCTCTCTCAGGATTTCTAGGCATATAAAGCTTTAATAATAATAATATAATATAAATAAAAGCTTTAATAATAATAATAGCTGGAAGGAGTTGCCTCATTCCTGCTAACATAATCCTGCTGCTGCGAGATATTATGATGGAGATATTAACAAACAAACACGTTGTTAAGAGATATTATGTTTAATAAGCAACATTTAATTTAATTTCTCTCAAATGGAGTTATTTTAAATTTAATTGGATCACTATTTTTATTTGTTTATTCAATTTTGGTCATGGTAAGACACTGTTTTGGATGAGATGATGGGTCAGTAACTGTAGAGAAGCTGCAGAGGGGCATGTTAAACTACAGCTTAGCTTCTTTTTCTCCCCATTCGGCTGGCAGGGTTTTGGAGGACTAATACATTTGGAAAGTTTAAAACAACCTTACTGTATCTTAACTTATTCTCAGCCATCACTTTCAGCTAAGGTTCGATGTCAATCATTCTGGTCACTGGCAACTATTGGACTATGGTTGAATATGGTTGACTATGGTGTCTCTAATCCTGTGAGCTGTTAGCCACGGAGCTTGGTTGAAGGGCTGGTTATATATATATATGTTATTCCAAAAGCACAACGCGAGAGGGACAATCACGAACTAGCTTGCAGTGAGGAAGTAGAATAAATGTAAGGGACGAAATTGTGCGACAACAGACAGATATGAAGGCAAAAAGGATACAGGAGGGAAAAGAGTCACAGCATTCTTGCACACCTCAGTCTTCTAGCTGGTCCAGCTTCAAGAGGTGCTTTAATGTTTAGTGGCCCAAAGCCAGAACTCTAACTCTTACACCCTCGCCTCCAAAGTAACAAAAATACAATATCTTTTTCATGTAATATTACCACTAAAGGAGAAAGAGGAATAATTGAAAATCTGACAGAGAGGGGAATCTGTTTCTATGTCCAATTCGACAGAAAATCGACAAACGTCAGGAGAACAGAAAATGGACACAGTAAATTAGAGATCCTCTTTTGAGCCTCACAAAAAATCTAAACAACGAGGGGCAGACAGTGCAATAAGTACAGCTTATCACTCTCCCCTCTTTATTAAAAAAGAAAAAGAAAAACTTTGAAAAGCTTAACATATCCCTGCTCAGATCCCCCTATGAGAACCACCTATCACTGCCTCTGCCAGCATATAAACCGTCCCACTGCATTTATTGCTTTGGGACAGTTTTATTTAAAAGTAGTTCCCATTATATTTTTAATATAGGCCTATAAAAATTCTCTATCTGTTCTAGTTTAAGAGATGCTGCACAGACTCCTAAAGTGGGTCTTTGCTTTATAGTTGTACCTTTTGTTTTTTTATTTTTAATTGTTGAGAAAAATCTAAATCATGTCACAGACCCTGCATCCCACTGACAACACCAAAACAAAACACTCCACTAAATCATATATATTTAATGCTCTGAACTTACATATCAATGTTTTTTTTACACCATGTTTTTTCTCCCACAATGTTTACATTTGATCACTGCTGCACTTTAAGTAATGGAAATGTATAGAAAGCTGTACAAAATGAAATTTTGTTTTGTATACACCCTGTGTATACACCCTGTGTATACAAAAAGACAATACAAGTCTAAGTCTTTATTTTATTTATTGGCTTTTAATAACTTTTCATAATCTGTCCCATTCAAATGTGGAAAATAGTTTCAATGTGTGTGGAACAGAGACAGAAGTCAAAATCTGCAGAGATCTGCTCCTCCTGAGTAGTTGGAGTCTCTCTACGATATTTAGTCAGGGTCACAAAAAAAAATTGGATAGGAGATTAAAAAGTTGTATGCAGAGTCGGGAAAGCATCAGGGGGGGCAGAGAAAGAAGCCATAGCAGCCTTAAGCTACCCTGAGGCTAGCTACCCCTTACTACCTGAAACGAAAACCATGTGAACACAAAAAGTGCCTAGTAGAGGAGAGGCTCAGTAGAAAATGTATGGAAAAGTGTTGCCTCTCACCCACAGATTCTGCAGAGGGAGGATGTATGTATGTATGGATGGATAGACGGAGGGATAGATGGATGGCCAAGCTTACTTAGTTTTAAGATGCCTCCATTGCTTTGGCAAATTAATTCAAGGGATGAGAAATATTGTGCATGAAGCACTACTTTGCAAAATTGAGCTTAAACTTGGCATTAAACCAGCTCATTTTATATTAACTCTAATGCAAATAGGTATCTTTAAAAGAAAATTGCATACCCAAGTTATAATTGTTTTAACCACAGTATTAAAAGTTATTGATGCTTCTCTTTTTTAAATTCTGTTTTATATTGTTACACAGGTTTATCACTCAGTGGAAATCTCACACATTTCCATGCCTAATTACTCTGCAAGAGACGTTTAAATCAATTAAGAAATTGCATAATTTTAGATGGCAATTTGTTAAGTGAAGAAAATAGATGTGCAAGTTGAAACAGGAGAAAGTATGGATTAACTTCTGAAAGTAGGCCATGAAAAAAACAACAACTATGCAGCCTTGGAGAATCAGTCTTTCCAGTTGCTATAATCACTTACCACAGAAGAGTAAGAGCCATACATGATCACTTTTATTTCTTTCCTGGCTATCTTTCGCCCCTTCTTCATCACAGGAAAACCTCCCCTTTTGCTGTGAGAGATTGATGCTACTTTGAATCCCTGCTGCTCATTCAAGATGTTCCTTTCAAATGTCCACAAATGAAGACACAATGAATGCTAGAGGGAATAAATTTGCTGCTTTGTAATTAGCCCTTAAACCATTCTTGAATGTCACCAATCAAAGATGGGGAAGGAGTTTATTAGGGCTGCAACAACGAATCGATAAAATCGATAAAAATCTACTTTTAAAAGCGTTGGCAACGAATTTCATCATCGATTAGTTGTGTCGCGCGATTATTGCGTCATCCGCCACGCCATCATCACTGCCTCTTGACTGAAAGAGGAAGAAAAAAAAAATATGGCAGAGCGAGTCAGCGCCGCAGGTGCAGTGTTGCCAACTCAGCGACTTTTCAGACCCCTCCAGCGACTATTTTTCAAAAAAGCGACTAGCGACAAATCTGGCGACTTTTTTCGGTTTCACTGGCGGCTTTTGGAGACTCTTACATGAAAGCATGTATCGTTCCTACTCTGCCGTGGGGCGCCTCCCCCCGCTCCCGCAGGAGTCCCTCTCAGCTGCATTCAGAGCCTCAGCGTCCAGACTGCAAATGAAGCGCGCATGCACCGGGATTGACGGCGCAGATTGATCACAATAATTAAAATAGCCTGCGCTTTGTAAAGCGAAAAAAGTGATAACATGGAACCTTTTTCAAAAGAAATTAACATGGCACGGAACCACCATGTTTGTTTGGTTTTAAAGTGGGGAAACGTTACGTTAGTTTCTCAGGTAGCTCATCTGATGCTTTCCTTACCGTGTTAGTAGGTTACAGACAGTGATAAGGTTGGCTACTTATTTTACTTTCAATTTCATTTGAATTAGCTTAAGCAGCATTTATATTTTCTTTATAAATAAATTAACTTGCAAATTATGAGGGCAAGGCTTTTAAAGTTTAAATCTTCTGGCAAAGATAAAGTAAAGAAGATCCTGCAATTTATGGAAGTAAAGCAGAATAAAATCCAGCAAGATCAGTAATATGTCAATTAATTATCTGCCACATTCCCATGTAAATATCTGTCTTTGGAGGATGTGTTTTTTAGCACCCCTACTTCTCTCATTTTTATTCCAAATACAATTTATAATTTGAATCACAGGGCTATTTTTATCTCTATGGTTCAGTATTTTCTCAAGTAGCAACTTTAACTGTTATACTTTCCTGTCTTAAAAGGCAGAACTCTTCTAGTCTAAAAAAAACTCATTTGTTGAAATGGGGAGGCCTATTGTTTGAACCCCTAAGGGGCTTTTAAAAACAAAAATGTCTTTTTTTGCGCTTTATGAAACAAAGTAGCCTATATTTTGTGGATCTACAGCTACATTTCTCATGTAAGTTTGCGTAGTTTTAACACAAACATTTATTTTTCATATTGCACCAGTACAGTTAATGAGCAACCTGTACTTGTGTGCTTGTTTGTTCTGTCTAAAATGTTTATTTTGGAATAAAGAGGTTAATATAAAAAATATTTTTTGTCCGATTCATCGATTAATCGAAAAAATAATCGTCCGATTCATCGATTTTTAAAATTATCGTTAGTTGCAGCCCTAGAGTTTATCAATGAGCCGCATGATCAACCGTCGGTTGTCTGAGGGAGGCCTGGAGATTAAACACGCACTTCTTCGGTCTTCCTTGGACATGATCCCACACCGTAACAACAAAAGACTTCTAACAAGTGTGACATGTATACCCAAAGATTTCTGTATAGAAATTCATTCTCTTAGAGTGAGAGGTGGCATATTCTAAAAGAGACCTGATGTAGTTTAACAAGGGTAAAAAAAGGGAAGTTATTTCACACCATTAAGAAAAACATTAGAAGGGTGTTAAAATACAGACATAAGGAAACTTAACATTTCGGTCATAGTGGAATTATCACACTAGACACAATTGAAATACATCACCTAACACATAGGTTTTAGCTAAGTTACAGATTAGAACACATTTGCATCTTACTTAAGAGACATAGTTTAGAGCCACAGTGGATTTACTTACATTGGACGATGAGCTCCACCACAGCCTCCCTTGGCTTCACGTTGAAGCCGTTATACTGACTGGTCTGGCAGCGGTACGACCCCGTCATCTCCCTGGAAACATTAACAATCCGCAGGACACCGTCGTAGCTCTCCATCTGCATGCTGCCATCAGGCATGGGGGCCTCCTTATCTGCTCGCGACCATAGGATGATGGGCTTGGGCTTTCCTGAAACAAGGCACTCCAGCTCCACTGTGTCACCCTCACGGGCCACCAGGGGGGACTTGCCCCGGGGGACTGTCAGGCTGGGAGGAACTAAGAAAGAGAAAAACAGAGGAGGGACTGATATGGGGCTCTAGAAAGTCAGCAGACGGGGTGAAAGGCAATGGTCGACTTGGAAGGGAAAGGCAGCGAAAAGAGGTGGGAGTTGGAGCGAGTGAGCGGAAAAGTTGCAATGGGGTAGTCTCAGCAAGATACACAGCATGTATAGATGAACCATGAGACATTAGCAACAGTAAACATGAAGGAGCAGTCAGAGCGTGGAGATGTAAAACCACCATAAACAACACCTGTGAGTTAAATGTTATCAGGCAAGGGCCACCAATGAGCAATGCAATGATGAGCTGACAAGCAACAACCCCAGCCCAAACAAAACAAGTTGAAGTGCTAAATAAAATTTCTCTAAAGTACAAAGTCCCAAGAGAACCTTCCTGCTTACACCGGCATTATATATAAACCATGAGGATTAGACAAATTAGTCCAGCAGGGAATTAGCCCAGCAGAGTCCAAGAGACAGTGTTCACAAACAAGGAATCAATGCAGCCATTGTATTTTACAGCTCATATCCCTTGTTCATGTTCAAAGCAATTCAATAACAACATGCAAAATAAACACACAAACTCAGAAATAGCCAGCTATGATCTAGCACAAATTATTTTCTTGCAAGTACATACTCAGTTACATGCCTGTGCTTTAAAAAATCCTACTGTCAGTAGGTCAGGAAATAGATGTGGCTTTAGTTTTCTGGATTTAAAACAGCTACATTTGCAATAATACCCATGCCAGTAGTAATGAGAAATACCCTTCAGTAATTCAGATGTCTATGCAAATGTCTAAAAGAGAAGCCTGTCTTTTACTCATAATTCACTCTTTTAGGTGAATCAGTGCGTTGAGGAGTTTTTAAAAACTAGTTATCCATGGCCCTATTTTTTTCTGTCAAAATGATATCGAAGCCTGTTTCCCTTCAAAACAGCAAAGACAAGATAACATAACATTCAGGTAAGCCAAATTAATCTTAAAGTTAGAAAATGGCAGAGGGAAAGTTACTATTGCCTAAATAAAAGAAAGAACGCTAAAAAAATGGAAGTGTCAAAAAAATAACTGAAGGAATTTACTAATTACTAATAGTGCACTTGAAGAAAAAACACACTTTTCAGAGAAACACCATGCTAGATAAAAAAAAATAATTATACGTTTCATTTTAGCAGAAGTTCTATGTTTTCAAAAGTCAGCCATTTACCAATGTACCTTTAATCCTTACATTGATTTACTACTTCTTCTTTCTTTCTACTACTTCTTTTTTTTAAGTACTTCTTTTTAAAATACATCATTTCTAAACCTTTTTTTTTGTGCTTACAACTCTCTGATTGTTCCAGGAAAAATCAAAGATCAAATTCCAGGAGAATTTTAGGTAAAAAGATGTTTTCACCCAACAGTTACTCTTAAGCTTCTAATATAGCGTTCAGCAGCAGGAGCAGCACTGTCATTACAATCAACAGAGAAAACAGTCGTCTTACTCTTGTTGGCCTATTTTCACCACAATATTCATCTCGACATCAGACTCAGATCAACAACTTTCCCTTCAAGGTGTTTCGAGCAATTTTCATCATATCAACATTGATGGCAGCATCATTACTATCTCTTGTTTGATTTTTTATTTTTTTTTAGCTATTTTGTACTTCTCACTGGTTCTACAGCAAACACACACAAAGATACATGTTTTTAAAAATTCTCTTGAGGTTTATGGCAAGTAATGATAATTATTGCAACAAGGAAAAAAACAACAAGAGAAAATAGTTAGAAGTAGCAAGTAATGGAAATGTTTTGGTTTTTGTAGGTATGTTTATTTGTCCGAGTTTAAAATGCAGCAACTCCAGCAGGTTGAATGAGGCAGTCTGGTTTCTCATCAAGCTTGCCGGCCAAGTAAATTTGTTTAATTAGTAAACCTGGCAAACAGCAACGGCTCCTAGAGTGCTGTGTAACATGCATTTGTGTTTATGTGTTTTTGTGTGAGTCCAAGCCATCAGCAGATTCCAAGACTATTTTGTAGAGCAGCTCCCCTAAACAGTTTACAGCCAGCTTTTCACAGGCCGATAATCTCCTCAGCAGTGATGAAACCCTGTTGTGTTTCCATGATGATTTTTGAATCACTGTCATTCTGTCCAAACAATGCTGCAGCTGGAAAAGAGTCAAGCCAAGTTGGAGTTTTTTTTTTTGTTATTATTCATTTTTTTTACTGTGATGAAATGACTTGAAATCTTAAAAAATGTATTAAAATAAAAGAGCTATGATAAACATATAAACATATTTTAAGGCCATTTCCTTTTTTCAAAGGCACAAAAAAAAAAAAAAAAAAAAATTCAGCCATTTCAGAGCCTCCAATTGTTCTTTTTTCAATGAGGATGTCTTTATCATACTGTTATGATTGTGTTTAAACACCCACTCCTCAAAGAAGGAATTTACATGTGCGCCTACAGTATGATTATTATGTGGAAGCTTCTGCATTAGACTGGGAATTGTGGCAAGAAATGTGAAAAAGAAAGAAAAAAAAAGTATTTAAGCCAAAATGACTTTCATCTCTGTTTTGGCAACAGTTTTAACATATCAGTGAAAAATCCTTCTGCAAGTAGGACAAACAGACAGTGGTTGCTTTTGTATCCACAAAAGGTATTAAAAATTAAGAAAAACAAGCTACATGAGAGGCCAAGAGTTTGGAAGCAATATTAAATTTGTAAAAATGGTAATAGTAGGTTATCAAATTCTGTTTTACTGTAATTAGAATTTATTTAATTTAGTTAGTGAATTATAATCTCCCCTAGCTTTATAATCATGGTTTAGGTAAGATATGCAAACTCAATGTTATGTTTTTCACCTATAGCACTGAAGAATTGGTTTTTCTGAATCTTTCCATTATGCTCTTATTTTCTTTTTATTAACTTTTATTAGGAAATTGCCAATATATCCCAATGTAAACCTAAAGGTAAACATAGGAAACATATTTTTATTATTGTATATTTTTACTCTGGGTTCCTGAGCAAGACCCTTAACCCCACACTGCTCCCCAGGCGCCACACAATGGCAGCCCAATGCTAACCAAGGGGATGGGTTAAATGAGAGCTGAATTTATCCAATATGAGATCAATAAAGTTCAATTAATATGATTATGATTATTATTATGATGATTATTACTATTTTTTATTATTATATAAATTCCACATCCAAAGATCTGCCAATGTTTTTTTTTTTATGGGGAAGGCCTAGTAAATAAAATTTAGAAATTGATTCTAATGTTAGCCGTCTATTTAATAATACTCTCAACCTGTATTGTCTTTGGGAATTTTTTTTATTTTTTTTTATTTTACAACATATTATAACAGAGTTAATTAATGCTTCTTATTATGAAAACATTGCATTAGAAAAAAGTATTAGTTTAAAAATCTGTATGCTTTTATTCACAAAAAACACATACGGAAAATCATCCACAGTTACTGAACAGGCTAATTGCTCTAAAAAATTCAAAGCAAACAGTAAAATGTAAACTCCATTCACATTTCTTCTTCCATTATTGACAAAAAACCCAAATACAACTGTATTAGAGAGGAGCTGATCTGAAAAGAAAACAATATTGTTAAAGTTTCTTACAAAAAGCTAAATAAAATCAGCTAAAATTGGATTAGCTGATCAGCTAGTCAAAGAATTACAATGAGAAATTGTCCCAGAAAATCCTGCACTGTACCACACCTGAAAGGGAAATATGTAATGCGTACAGTAAATACTGTAATGAAAGAAGGATGTGAAGACTATTTTAATGTCTCGCTAATAATTTATCCATTTAAGATCCCGAGCTTTCAATATTTATGTTTTTCATTATTGCTAATTCAGTAGAACATGATATTGAAATTTAAATGTGACTGTTAGTGATTGTGAAAAATTACACATTGAGAATTTACAGTATACTGTATTTATAGGACCTTGTAGGATATTTATGAATAAGTGACCTCAGGAAGACAAGTGTACATTAAAATATTAAAAAAGGCTTTTACTGCAGAGCAGTTGTAACCTTTACTTTGCAATGTCTTAAAGTTGTGGTTTAAAAAAATTATAATGAGAATTTAGCATAAACATATTTAGAAATAATCTAAGTAATATATTTTAGATCTTTGTTCCACTACGATCCCATCAACCTAGATATACCTTCACTGCAGTCAAACCGGTTAAATTCGTTTGCTTGGTTTTAGCATCAAAATAGAAGCAAAACGGGTCTTCATCACTGCAATAACAGCAGATATTATCATGTAATGTTACATTTCCTGATATTTTTTCACACATCATCTTGGCAGTCCTGGCCAGGTGTTAAGTGATGACGTCTGTTTCCATACCTCAAATCTGTTCCATATTTTCTTGGGTTCAAGCAGCTAAACCACAGCAGGAAAGAAGCAGCAGGTAACCGACAACATATGGAAGAGCGGTATATTCGCTGAGCTGCCGTCTTTACACCTGGCCCCTCTTCTGCCCAGATTAGACATATAATTACAGTAGTCTGGGCATAGATATTGGCAGCACAAAAGCTCACTCGACTGCTCTCGGCGTGCCCATGCTGATACTTCTTTTAACTAGGCTTTGCATTTCATCTTTCTTCCTGGGGACCACCTTTTCCTTGCATGTGAGATTGACCGCTGAGATGCTGAGTGTGGCATTGGGCCTGCTGCTGGTCTTTACTGTGCTCTCATTGTGCCAAAGCCCTCTAAATGCCAGTGATGCCTGTGGGGCACGTTCACCCCACGTGGATGCTTTTCCAGTGTGCTGCTGCATAGTTTTTATGTCCCCGCCTTTGCATGCGGGTATATGTGAATGTCTTCTCGCCCAAGGGTGACAGTATTCTGTGATCATGTCTCAGCTTTTTGATGATATTCTTCTTGCTGCAGCAATAAAAATATGTACTTGTGCTTTTGCGGGGCTAAATCAAGACAGGGACTCGTAAATTGGCCAAGGTACTGCCACACATCTCTGGGGACTCAGTAAGAATAATCCTCAAA